ACTACCAGATACTCAAGGGAAGCGTCCATGTTGATACCCTCACACCGTGGTCAAACATGGCGATTCTGCGACGCTGCGAATCACGTTTGAAAATCCAATTAGTCTGAAAGAGCTGACAATAAAACAAAACCTGCTCCTCCACATAATGCTGAGTGATCGTCTTAAGTTACCTAAAACCCGCTTCGTTATGCACCTTCCAAGAGGTTCCACATAACGGATCGGCAAATTAAAGAATTTATACATCTATATTTCAATTAATGCGTTGTGACGAGGCGAGAAACACAGAATTCATAGTAGTCAATAACGAAGCAGTCAAACTGTGCGGTGCCTTGACGAATGACAGGATGGAACTGTTTCGCACATTCAACGGTCTGGCCGTTTAGTCGAATATCGATGGTGGGCATGCCACTTTCTAATACACAGTACTTTGGTTTTCCGAAATTATTACAGTCGTTAGTACTGAAATTAGGCACGGATGGAAATCATAATCAGTCACTATAATTCACGTCCGCATGAAGGCCTTTTGAGGGTTTTTCCACCATTTCCTGCCATGCACCTGCGATTCGCACCAAAGTCTATTGAGACAGGTCATTGATTTAGCGGTCTCTAATGACTCGCAGTAAAATAGACTGGAAATTTCTGTCGCAGATCTCATAAAAGTTTTTCTCATAACGGAACTGTATCGAAGATCTATAATACAAAGTTCAACATCCCTCTCCCCACGAGCTCCCTCGAACGCTATGCAATAACATCTAAATCTGCTTAATGTGACAATGGTGTTTTCTCGGTCTTTCCGATACTTTTTTACTTTTGGCTCTGCACTAGTTTCAATGTTCGTTGGTCATTGAATTTTTTGTTGGCTGCAAAAGACATGTTCAGAGACTTCACACTTAATGGATTCCTCCTTATTTTCTTTCGCTGAAAAAAATCTTTATCTCTAGCGATCCATTCATGTAGTAAACTTTCATTCATTCATGGCCACAACGAATGGCCTAAGAACTTGACCACCACACATTTTTGGCTATATTCTTGATCGTCTCCTGTTTGCTACAGACAGTCACGCTCTTCGGCTAAAAATACTGGTCTCATTTTTTGAAACATTTTGGACTAGTGCCATAATGTTTGTTTGCTTCGACAGTATCATACGGTAAAAGAAGTTTCTCAGAATCTACAATCAAGTGACAGACCCGGATATGCAGCATGAGCATATTCGGCCCAACGTTACTGTACCATCTTGTCGCGCAGAAAGCCTCGAACATTCTAAAGGGGAACCAAACCAAAAACACCAACACGGAAAGATGACAATGTCGAAAGCTGCACTGCCCACAGCCACCGGCAGTCGGTGCTTTCTTTTCGTTCTTTCCTTTCATGCCTCTTTCGGATCGAGCGGAGGATGGACCTTACTGCTAATGTGAATAAAATACTACTTACAAATCGGTAGCGTTAGCAAGTTCACTCATAAATGTATAAAATTAAATAATTTATAACTGTCAGATGTTTACAATCGATTACCTAATTTCACGGCGATCGACAGCATAATTTCCAATATTAATTTCGTCAACCATCTGTAATCATTACATGCCTTGCGTCAAACCCTGCAATTTGCGAGCATCTGGCAGTGCCAAGGTCGCTAGTTACGAACGTAAATCCTCAAAAATCAACAGAGGAAATAAAGTGACGAAATGAAAGCTTTATGTGAAAGCAAATGCTTTACTCAAATCAAAGAAAACTCGAATGATGTGGATAACTGCACGTAAATTAACGATCACCAGCGAAATGAATGTTTGCCATTCAGAAACCGAATTAATTCTCTACGTGGCACGCTTGATTGGTTTTCTCGTAGTTTCGTCGAAAATGATCCCTCTGCGACTCGCTCGTACTTCAGTCGCTTGCGGCAATAATCACAAACAGCATCAACAGTTTTGTGGTCGAGTAAGAGCGAAAACCCTGAGGGAAATGGGGGTTAATTTTGGACGCCAATCTGCCATTTGTGTGAAGCTCACAGCTGGGAGTTCAGAAATAGTCTTTTCTCTATGGTAAAAAAAAGTTCAGCTCAGGCGAAGAACTTCTCAATGACAGGATCCGTTCTAAAACAAGCTGACTGGACTAAGAGAATTAATAGAACTTCCATGTCCCAAGAGTAGACGATAAACCCCAGGCCTAAACAGTTAGAATATATTGGACACTTAGCAATATTATGATCTGGATGCCAGCCCAGTGAGACAAACCAGAGAAAGCGAAGAAATTCAAAACGCCTGCACATAACTCAGTGCTGAAAAAGACAGAGCCATGCAAAACATTCTCCCTGAGTTAATCTGATATGATAAGCACGGGAATCGTAGAAAAGCTCTACACCATCTCTCATCAAAAGTGGACTTCAAAACCTTTCTCCGCAGAATCGAAGTATGGAGTAATTGTCCTTACATCTACACGGCGATGGGCGAGTGACCGTTTCAACTGTCAACAGTACTGCCAACTCCAGCGAAACTGTTCTCCCGCATTACCCCGGAAAGAATGAGGCAGGCAGCTGATGGGAGATCCAACACCCAACTCAAGCAGGCTTCCAGACGGGATACTCTTCGTCTTACGAAATTTTAAATTATACAGCAATTCTTATGGGTATAAAAAAACTGTTTGTCAGTTTTCCTCCATCATGACGTTGTATTTGATTCAATACATTATATAACGACGCATAAATCTTAGAACGCTAAGAAATATCTCGCACATTGTATTCATTTTAAAAGAGAAGTATGGAGAAACTCTTTGCTGTTAACGCTCGGAGAGCTACTAGAGTGATTCCTTAATAATTGCAGAGTTCACCAGGGAGATGTGCTATTGTTTTTGCTATTCAATACACTGTTCTCGATCTATTCTTCTGAGATAGTAATGAACAGGGCAAAGGTGAAGGTTTCACTGTGAGGGAAGAGTTATCTGGTGGCTATATATCTTGCTGATTTTGAGTACATAGAATGGTACCGTACTGGAGAACAGTAACGGAAACGGTCTTCGTCAGCTGACGCCTTCTGTATGCAACATGGCTATGATAATCCATCGGGCAAAACAGATCGCTACCTGCAAAACTAGAGGCAAAACGACAGAGAAGAAGAAACATTTTCAGCATAAAACAGGTTTAAACAGAAAGATCAGTCCTGTATCAAGTGCACTGTTGAATCACACCAGATCATGACACCGGATAATCAGCTATCGGATTGGTCAAGGCGAAATGCAGCCACAAAGGACGCTTGCATCTTACATCCTCGACGTATACCTCGTCTTTCTGCCATGACCAAACCAAAATATAATGCCGTGGTGTAAATCTTTTGCTCGATAAAATCTGTGATTAAAACAAGGATAGTTGTCTCTGCATTCGAATCTGGCACTTCAGTTGCATATGAACCGCGACCACTCGCACCCAAAGCTAGAATCATACCCCCTAAATTAACAAGCCAACTTTTGGCAGCTTGTTTAAAATTCAGATTCAGAAGAGAATAACAGTTGCATGACTATCCACTTGCAATTGGCATTGGTCAGGCCAGAAGTGCTTCTATACAGTAATGAAAAGCAAGACAGTTGGCTGAACAGTGTTCGGTAACGCTAGCTTCGATGCATAACAAAGATTCAATGGCAGGGTCATGTGAAATAACCTGCTGCCCTCCGAGACAGATATCACTGATAGATGTGGAGATAAAGAAAATGAAGCTGGCATGTCAGCCAAACTCGTGTACACAAACCAATAGCGTCAGTACTCATGGCGAATGTGTTTTAAAAAAAGTGAGAAGCAAGCGAACACCATAAAACATAGACGTTGAGATCATAGAATTAAGCGATTGGCGGACAGAAGGTCGCTACCGTTGCTTCAAGATGCAAACACTGAAAATTAATGAATAAATCAAACCTAGTGCACAGGTTCTCTAAGGGAAGAAAAACCTACGTACGACAGATCTGCGCATTTGTCACCTGATCAATGCAATGAGTGGATAACGCCGATATGATGAACAGTTCAAATGCGCACAAAATGACACCGAAGTGGCATTCAAGGTGTTAAGCATTATCACCTTGTTGCAGGATGTGGGGTGGGGGAGACGGGGGCCGCAACCTTATCAGCTGTAGTTTTCATATCTTAAGACTTACAGTATATACAATAAATTAAGGCATGAAAACAGTTATATCAATAAACAGCGTAAAACAGTTGGTCAGTGGGATGAAACACCTCTACCGACGTCTCGGTCCTAATCTCAGGGCCTTCTTCAAGGTAAGGTTGACGGTTACTGCTCGGGTCGTCCCCAACAGTGAGTTCATTTCCAGTCTCGAACCATATTCAGGACTTGGGACTATTGGCAAGCATGGATAAAAACCAATATTATTTGTTAAAATGGAATGAAATGGAAAGCAGAAACGAAAATGTCCAGCAGTTCTCTGGAGGACTGACGGATGACCGATGGGCTCCAGAAGTGACGAACTGGTACCTACGGGGCTGCAAGCACTCATTTTCAAGACCTCGGCTGAGATGAGGTAACAGAGATATGGAAGATTGTAATGATAAATTGTACGAAACGGATGACTGTGGTAACCGGGACTTGTAAACACCTTAAAGAGATCTGATTTCTAAAGTAATATATGATAAATATGCGTCACTGTACTATTTAAGCACCGTTAGCCTTGGATAACAATGAAATAAGAACAATCTCAGATATGGAGATCGTGGTTAATTACGAAGAAAAATCAGTCAGTCAGTCAGTCAGTTGCTGTTACTGCTGCAGAGACTTTCTGAAAGACACACCTACTGCTAAAACTAACCTGTAGCTATCTTAATTATGAGGTAGTGTCCGAATCGTATGAAGCGTCAGGTTTTTAGTCCCTGTTGTTACGGCTAAAGTTGGTAAAAGGGGGGACTAGTCGACGTGGAGTTTCGGTTCATGCACAAGATTGTCATCGAAGATATGAAGCTGCAACGGGAATCAATGAAATGATACAGTTTCCTAGTACACGAGCAAACAAACTTGTACTATGTCGCGTACTACGAATCGTCGCGTCACCGAGCGGGTGGCACGATTTTCCGCCGCAGGATAAACTAATGCCACGCCCAGTTTCGATTCACAGTTAAAAAACTGGTCACCTGCCAACAAAGGTGCGAAATTGCCATTCTCTTCTGAGCAACCCCAGTCAAAAATTGCTGTTTAGCCCACACATGGCGCGATGGACGACGGAAGAAGGACGAAGTTGAGGCTGGCAATAATCGAACAACGAACACAACTTCGTCCGGCAACTCCGGTACCCGGCCAGCCTTGAGGAAGTAACGCTGGCGGCAGGCGAGGCGAGGCGAGGCGAGGCGATGCGAGGAGGCAAGGCGACTGACGCAACTCGGCCGCCGGCTTCATGGCTGTCAGTCAGCCATGTTCATGGCCACCATTAGAGACAGCGCAACTGGCTCATCAGTGCGACTCGTGTCACCAAATTAAAAATAAACCGGCACGACAAGGACGACGAATCAATAACGGAGAAAAATTGGAGGAGGCATGGTCCGCTGTCAAAACGCACTCAACAACGCCGGAAACGAAGCCCCGGTACAGACGAGGAACCGACGCATTTTAGCGAAGTCATAGCCACACGTGTGACGGCCATCAACCCGAACATAGCTATGCATCAACGACAGCACACATTCAGACTTTTTTACAGTGCAAAACAAGCGTACCAGTCGACAATGGGATGTGGTTCACAAGCCTCAGAGTAGCTGGACGGGTGAAACGCTTTCGGCGACGAGGTCAGGCTTGAGCAACCTTAAACAGGCCAGAAAATTCATCAATAGCGGCGAGTCTCCAGTTTCGGCAATAGTTCGCAAATTTCACTCGGCAAACCGACGACCGAACACATGCTGACTGGACAGTAAAGACGGAGACCGCGCGCATTAACCTAGCAATTTACGACCATTACCGGAAGCGTAAACACAAGCGTTACCAGCTTTTTTGTGTTTACTACGGTAGATAAGATAATTAAGTACTAAATAAAATTCCATAGTTACATTTCTTGAAGCATTTTTCGATTTTGGGCGCATAATTAATGAATTAGAATTGACTGTAATACATTGTTAAGATACCGTAATATAAAATTAGGATCATAGCGTTTTATTTAATTTCTTCTGCATTTTAAATTTTTTCTTCAACGAATCGTAACCACTGTTGCATTGCATTGGAGAAGTATATTGTACTTGATAGATTCATTCTTATCGAAGTAAATTTTCAGGATGAAGATTGTTACTGATTTCAAAAGCTGAGATATTTTAATAATGATAGAGCTAATCCGTTATTATTCAGATTCTGGTAAACGCCAGCATGTTCAAAACAACATGAACGATGGTTCAGGGTGAGGATTCAGTTCAAGCACGGAAATATCAGCCGAGAATATATCACGCGCACTGTGGAATATCAGACGAACTGCGCTACTGTAATTGACTGCTAGAATGACAGTTAGACAATGACGCGCTTTCTACTCGTTCGTGAAGCGTCGAAGGTCCTCAGGACGTTGTTTGTTGCAGAAGATGAATAGCAATACCTGAAGACTGCCGCAGAACAGAACTAACACCATCGTTGGCGAAAATCCTTTGCTATTTTAGTATATAATTTAATGATAATATTGTTCCACGGCATCGGAAAAATATTTCTCAGGCAGCGGAGCTCAAATTCAGAACGCATGGGTTCCAAGTTAAAGCACTGGTCGGGATCACCCGTCCTTCTTTCTTTCGATGTCGATAATGAGTATCACTCTGTAGGAAGAAAGCTGGAGACTACTCACTACACTTACTACGTCGTTTTGGACTCTGTCATTAGATATAAGGCACTTTTGATCACTTGCATAGAAACGACGACAATCAACAACGTAGCATCAACTCCATGAGAAAAAGGCGACAAATTGGCACAATTATGAAAATCAGGGAAGACCGACATTCCAACATGGCAAACTTTCTATGTTTCTTTCCGATATATCCGTGTTGCTGTGCGATAGGGTGGTGAAAATTACAGGAGAAGCAGTCGGGAATTTGACAGAGAACCTGCACGGCTCCACTACGTTGTAAAGAGTAATCAATAGAAACGTGTCATAATCCGGCCTCTGCAGTTCTTGTTTATATATCAGTTGGGCCGGCTGCAAATCGACGAAAAATCGTGAAGCCGTAATGTACACAGAATTCCTCGCGGTTTCGAGCCTCTTCCATGCGAGCAGCTTTCCCGGCGCCTAATAATCCTTCTACCACTTTAGAGGTTTCAAAGCAGCGTAACCCGCAGGCGAGGAAACCAGTTGACGATCATCGCTGACCATCTTCAGTGAGCCGAACTTCGTCACTGCAACTCCTTCCTTCTCTTTTGGCGATAACTTCCTTCATTCTTGTCCGCTGTCCAATGTCCGTATTGAGTATGTGGTCGCAAAGTGAAATTCTCAACATTTTGCCTTCCACTCTCTCTGTAACAGATAGCGAACGCTCATCGACTTTAGTGAGTGATGGCTTCTCAACACTTGGAACATTTCAGACAAGAGGGAGAACTGAACGGCTGGGTGATGGCTTCTTACCGGATGTTGTAGAAGAAAATGTCTTCGATGGAGTGAAATGCTCGCTACGGTCCTGTTTCTTCGTTGAATC